GCACCGGGGCTGAGGGAAACCTGCCCGGGCCGGGACAGCCGGGCACCGGGGCTGAATGAAACCCTGCCCCGGCCGGGCGGGCACCGGGGCTGAGGAAAGCCAACCCCGCACGGGACAGCCGGGCACCGGGGCTGAGGGAAGCCAACCCCGCACGGGACAGCCGGGCACCGGGGCTGCATGAAACCTGCCCGGGACAGCCGGGCAGCGAGGGTGACCCGGGCAGGGAGCGGCGAGCGGGGAGCTCCGGCCGCCAGGTGCCTCTGCCCGGGCCGGGGCACCCCGGGATCCCCGTCCCGGCTCCGGCCCTACCGACACCCGCCGTGAGACTTCCTCCTGTCCTCTCGCCCACTCCTCGCCGCTTCTTTGCACCCTCTTCGCACTGCCCTTGCATTTTTCCTGCATCCCGCTCCCCAGTCCGCTGCGCTCTCCTCGCACACTTCTTGCACACTCCAGGCTGTCGGTCTGCACTCTCCACAAAGTCAGTCCGGTCGCATTCCAACTCCTCGCACCCTCCTGCCCGCTCCTGCCCCTCCACTGTGCCCGGATGGGTGAGGGAGGTGACGGGGACCCCATGAGAGTACGACCCCGACTCCGCCACCCGTGCTCTCGCCGCGGGACGGCAGCGGCCGCCGGTGGCACCTACCTACGAGCAGCCCTGCGAGCCACCAGCACCGGACCATGGTGCCCGCTGTGTCTCGGCCAGAGGCGCGATCGCCGCCGGTGCCCGCGGAGCTCAGCGGGGCGCGGCGCCCGGCGGTGCAGCCATGGGCCGCCTCCGGCGCTCCGGTGCCCGCGGCGGCACCCCGGCTTCAGCCCGCAGGCGTCCTGCTGAGCCCGAGCCTGGCGGAGGGATAAAGCGGGGGGCGAAAACAGAAAAGTATATATTTTAAAATAAAGCACCGCAGCCCACCCCGCCTTCGCAGCGGAGCGCGTCCCCCCGGCTGCTGATGGCTTTAATGGAGCTTGGCAGCCACAGGTTCCCGCTGCCAGAAGAGGTGGAGACTCCGCCGCCTGCGCCCCACATGCGGCCGCGCACCGCACACGCGGGGGAGGAGGAGGAGGAGAAGGAGGAGGAGAAGGAGAAGGAGAAGGGCAGCCCCGGCCCGGCACCACAGATCGAGGTGGGCTCCCGCCTGGGGACTGGCGCTTCTCCCTCAGGGGCCGGCCCCACCTCACCCGACCTGCGGCCTCGGGGCTGCCCTGGAGCCCAGGTCTTGGAGGCCCTGGAGGGGCGCGGGCCCGGCCTGCGCTGTGGGACGCCATGAGGGGATCGTCCCTCTATCTCCATGCATGAGGGGATCGTCTCGTCATCCCCACACCATGAGGGGATCGCCCCTCTATCCCCACACCATGAGGGGATCGTCCCTCTATGCCCACACCATGAGGGGATCATTCCTCCATCCCCAAGCCATGAAAGGATCATCTCGTCAGCCCCGGGCCATGAGGGGATCATCCCCATGCCATGAGGGGATCATCTCCATGCCATGAGGGGATTATCCCCATGCCCCCCACACCACGAGGGGATCATCCATGAGGGGATTGTTCCCACATCCCTGCAGCCTGGTCCCCTGCCCACTGTGTCCCTGGCACCCTCAGACCCTTCATTATCACCAGGGCCATAAAAAGAATGGGGTAAGTCCCTTTAAAACCCTCTCAACACTCTACAGATAGGAAATACGGGACCCTTTGAAGGCAAGTCAGAATGCCCACCTCAGGTGGTACTTGCCCATGCCAACCATTCCCTCTCTGTTCCCCAAACCAGGCCTGTGGGACAGAGCTGCGACTGACAAAGGACTCAGAATCAGCTCTTGTCATGAAGCAAAGCACAAATCTGAACTTAGATGTGTCTGGGACAGAATAACACTTTGTCTTGGTGAGTATCAGCAAACCATTTTATTCTCTCCCTTTGAGCACATAAAACAACGCGTGTGTCCTGTAGTGTGAGGGCTCAGCTGCCTTTGGAAGCAGTGAGGGAAGAGGCTGAGCTGCCATGGCTCTGCCAGGTCAACACTTACGGTGCTGGCACTAAAGGCTGAAGTTTAATGCATTTTTCCAGACTGAAAAACTAGTTTCAGTTTTTGTAAATGAGGCGAAGAAACCAAAACACATGTGTGCCCCCGGCAAAACCCCAGGACCCTGCACATTCACTTTTCCTGGTGAAACTGGCTGTTTCACCAAATAAAAGGAAACTTTAGGGGAAAATAAGGAAGCTTGTCTCCAAGTTCACAGCAGTATTCCTGCTGATTGCAGTGGGGAGAAGTTGAGGCCTGATTCCACAGTCCCATATTTGCTAAGCAGGACCTTCAGCGTGCTGGGGTGAGGTCTCACTGGAATGGGTTTAATGACTTTGTCAAAAATAATGCATAACATCTTTCATGCGAAGTGGGACAAACTTATCTGTCATGGGTGCATAAAGAATTAAAGTTTAATGATACTTGCCAAGATAAAAAATAACAAAGTCCATTTGTAATGCAGGCACTCCTTTTTCTAGCTGATGTTTTTATCTCTTTTTGTTTCTCAAATTCCCCAAACCAGTCATTCTCGGTAAATGTCCAAACCACTGTGGTTTTATTATATTTACAAATACATAAATTCTCAAATGCATAGGCAAAAAAAGTTGTCCTTTATAATGATAATAGAGAGAAAGAAATAGTTTTGCAAGAATTTTCTTTATAAACCAGTGCTTACTGTTTTCAGGCATAGCTAACTTAAATGGGAAAAATAATAGAACAGGTAATCTTTTACCACTATCAAACTTTTATTTTGGCTGCACACCTCTCATATGACACTTCCAGCTGCTAATACGAATCTCCTTGATTTCTTTTGGATCATTTTAAAAGCATTTTTTTTTTGGGGGGGGGGGAGGAATAGAACCAAAGCAGAGTCATTTTCATGCAGGTGTCTGAAAATTTTAATTATCATATGTAAACCATCAGAAGCTTTTATCACATGGGCATAGCGATAGATTTCATTCATCTGGCCTCTTTCATCCCTGCGGACCCCAAGGGACCTTATCAAAGTAACTGAGCCATGAGCCCTTCTCTTTTTTGGGGGGGAAGAATTCCTCCTGCCACCCTGGTGCTGCGGAGCTGCCAGAGAGCAGCGATGCAGCTGTTCAGCCACGCACTGCCCCAGGAGGATGAGAAGAGTGCCACAGCCTGTTAGAAATACCAGGAGGATTTAGACAGGCAATGGAGTCTTCCAACCTGGAACTCTGCCAGGACATCAGGCTTGCATTCTCAGCTCGCGTAAAAATGGCTGGGTAATCTTCGGCTCCTGCAGAGGACCAGCAATGTAAAAATGCCTATAATTTTTATTATCAAATAATTACAGGCTACCTGCTGGGCAAAGCACGTGGAGGGAGACAAATGAGTGCAAATAGCCTGTAATTCCAGCAGAACTATGTGGCCTGATTTATGCATTCAAAGAGAATAAAAGCTGTTCCTATTCTGATTCAGGGGCACTCGCAGTGCTGTAAATACTAACACAGCTGCAGGGTAACTGGGAACCAGACCAAGGTGTTTTTACATTAGCTATGCTTCACTTGCCTGGCACCTTGTGTAATATTCATTCCTGTGCAAAACAGGTACAGAATATTTGAACTCAGGATCATGCACTCTTGTTAGCTATACAGGGCATTGAGTTGTCCAGCTCCCAAAGGCCAAATATTTTCTCTTCCCCTTGCCAGAACAGCAAGGATAGGCAGCCACACGTAAAGGCAGCAGGGTCAGGAAACCAAAGATTGATCATCCAACATATCTGAAAATACTGTTGTCTGAAAAGAGGGATCCTCTGAGTAGAGATTCGGGTCCCCAAGTAGCCCTATCCATAATCCATAGCAATGCTGCTTCTGGAGTCTTCTCTCTAAGAGGGAATACCAGGGGATGTGCTGGGTGACCTGGAAGTGTTTGGTATATGCATTTACAACTGATATGTACCCGGTAGAACCACTTGTGTTCTGTTTCAGTTTCAGGTGTGTATATTATGGGAGGGTGGAAATTGAATAATATATCCCTATTTTGGGGCACTTGTGGGAGAAGAGCTAGGTGTCCCTCATGGAACTTCATTGAATCTCATTGGGAAACTCTGGAGGGAGCTATATACATTTAACACTCTTAGGCTCACCAACAGATGGACCATGATGCACAGTTGGAAGATGGAGACTGAAACAAAAAGTTATTTTAAAAATTGTAAAAATAAACAAACCTGGAAAAAATTCTTGAATTTCCCAGGGGAAAAAATAAGGTGGGAATGCTATTCCTTTCACTTCTAAGTTTATATGTACAGAGGATTCTTCATGAAAAATGCAATGTTCAGAGTCTTTATTAATTAACTCAAAACATTTAGAGGAAGATAGCATCATCTTCCCCACAGGGACACTAGAGCCATGGAGGATATGTCTTGCTCAGACATGTGAAAGGTGCCATCAGGGCCTGTCTCAGGGCCTTTCCCAGCTGGAATGGGCAGAAATTAGTAGAAATGAGTACCCTGTTTATCTCAACTCAGCACAGCATAACATTGTTCTCCTTGATCAACCATCATTTCTTACTGATTTTGAGCAGGTAATTCCCTCTCACTTTTCCATGACTGGCAGCAACATGTTGGACTTGGCTATTTGAGGTTTGGTGAATAAAAACAGTGTTTTGGTTGTCTTTACCAGCCACCTGAGATGAGCAGTGAAGGAAGTAGCACCTTCCTTTAGCCTGTTAGTTTGCACTATTCACTAAGAAATAGTATTTTTTTAAAATATTGCAGAGTCATGCAATGCATCCTCAGTGCATTTTACAGAGCAACAATAGGAAAATGTGAATAAACCTTGTGGAGTACCTGGTTCAGTGTATGTATTTATATATTAAAAAGCACTGGAGTATTATTTACATGCTTAGCTGGAGTTTGTCCTTTCTAGAGAAGTCTGGGCTGCTACCTGTTATACTTGGCTCACGATAATTTAAATAAGAATTTATAGACCCTAAACCATCTGCAAAATGTCCCAGCTCTTCAAGGCCAATGTAAATGCAATGAGGGGGGAAAACCACAGAAAGAAAAGGTTAACAAGGTTTCTCCTTGCCTCCCCCTTGGCACATTTTATAATTAACTTTATAATGTCTGAGAGCAAAAGGTTGAAACAGATAAAGTTCCCACATCCTTGGATATAATTGCAACAGTTTGTGCAGCACATGACAGCAGCAGCAGCTCTGTTTGGTGTCACTGCACTACACATTGCTGAGAGTGTGTGCACTGCAGGGTACTCTGCAGCCTGGCTTCACATCTCCACATGAAAGCAGCTTGCTGTGATTTATATCATCATGCTAATCAGGAATTCACATTAATTCAAGGTCCCTTTTGGGCCCTTAGGAAGAAGGAAGAATCAAAAATGAGCCAGATTTCTATTTTTTGCAAGGTGCCACTGTTTTCCAAAGTGTGAAGGAATTAAATGTGTCATTAGTGTTTGCAGACACATTAAAAGGCAGCTAGGAGAGAGCTCACTGTGTGCTGCAGTGAGAGCCATGAGCAAGGAACCTTCTTCTGCCCCCTGACTCTATCAGCAGTAAGGAAATTTAAAATTTAAATAAATCTTGAAATTCTAGCCCACGTTTTCTTATGAATGACAGATCCTTCCTGCCCTCAGTCCACCACATTTCTCCAGGCCTGAAAACTGACGCGTCCTTCTTAACAGCAAGAAGTAGGAAAGACGTTTGTGGTCTGGTGGTTACACCATGGGGTTGGAAAGCAGGAGAAGCGGTGTTTCAAATCTGGGCCAAGATTCTTGTTCACCATGGACTGGATCCTGCCAGATACTGAGCACCCACTGATTATCCAAGGCCAGGCCCTCACACAATTCATGTGAGTCCAAGTTCTTGTTCCAAAGTAAAAACTGGGCCTGTATTCAAAAAAATTGGTGCTGATTCTGTGGTTATGCTGCTTCCCTCACAACCCCAGCAGTCCAGCATTAATTTCCATTTTCCCTTCTAGTGGCATGAGGGCTGGGACAGTTATATTCCAACACTTGACACCTCCAAAGCCCTGATTCCTTATGAAAAATCTCATTTTACTTCTCTCTAGCATTAAGATTTTTCAGATTAGTGGGAGGTCTTGTTCTTTTATGTTTCTGCCCATACCCAGAAAGGGAGAAGAATAACAAATCTGGAAAGAAATTGCTTTTATTCTGATGAATTGTAAAATCACCAGTAGCTTTCTCTTTGGCTAGTGGAGAATCTACTATAGATATGGACAGAGTCTGTGCTGAAACTGTTTTTTTAGGGCAAGATGTGGTTTAGAAACAACAAGGAAGCATAATCATATACCAACTCTGATTACTGGGCAAGTAATAACATCTCAAGATTTTTTAATGCTCACCTATTAGAAAGAATTTAGGTGCTAGTGTCTTATAAATACCTTAGACATGTGATTTTATGTATGTTTTCTATGGGTCTTGTGGCGACTCTGAACTAATTCTAAAATTCTGCAAAATATATAACCAAGAAAAGCAGGTCTATTGTCAGAGACTCCATGGGGGTCCATGAATCCAAAAAAGCTGGAAACCACCACCAAGGTCAATGGATGGATAATTTAGATTGGATATGGCCCCTTTTTTCACCTCCTTTCATGTAATGCAATTTTCAGGGTGAGATTTCAGCATGCCAGTTGCTCCACTGCAGGCAGAAAACTGCATATACCTGTCTGAATCCAGCAGCTCCAAGCATGGCCTCTGCCATTCTGCAAAGACAGAGAAAATAAGAGGGAACTTGGGCCATCAGTGAGGAAAGGTAAAATAACCTTTTGTTCAGTGACTATAGTAACCATAAGCAGTTGTCAAAACAGATTTTGGAGTGTGTTAAAAACCCAAATCTTTCTATGGTCCCCAGTCCAGGGCTGTTGTAAAAAGTCTTGTTTTCTTCTTGTTGAAACCATCATTTACCCTTTACTTTGAGAAAGATAAATGGTCTCAAGGCACATAATGATATCAGCAGAGATAAATTACAAAGGCCACCAGCTAAAATCAAGCTGCTGTGAGGACTGCACCATAAATCGCTGCAGCAAACATGCACCTGCTCATGCCTCAGGTCATTGCCTTGCATGGCATATTTCTGCAAGGCATGAAGAAAGCACATAACCACTTCTTAAATTCTTGCTCTATCTAAAAATTATTTAAGGATATGAACTTTGGTTCAAGCCTTGCATGTGTAATACCCTTATATGCCCAAAACATCATTCCACTGTGTGCATTTTTTCTGTTTTATGTATGTGCATTTTCCCTGACACTGCACAAACCTATCCAAAAATGTTTTCAAAGCTTTTTTTAAATATACAAGGAAGCTGTGGAATGTGGGTGTCTTTAGAGTGCTTTGGATTATATGGCACATGTTCATCTGAGGGTGCCCCATGGGTACCTGGGGCTTCAGCATTCTTGCCAGGATGTCTTACTGCACAAACCCTCCTTGCTGCCCCATAACAACCACCAACTGTCCAAAACTGCTGACCTATTAACCAAACAAACTCTGCTAAATATTGCCATGTGTAAGTGTACTATTATTTTTCTAATTGCTAAAAACATGTCCTTCCTGCGTTCAATAGCCTCTAGAAGAGATTGTTAACAGCTGGGTATTTAGCACAACAGAGGCTTTAGACTTAAAGGAACATTGTCCAGGTTAGCCGGTGGATTTGGCCATCTGTATTTTTTTATAGATGATTCTTTTCATGTTATCCATGTTCTGTTTGAAACTGTGAATCAATGGCTCTCATGAGGATTAAGTCAGCAGAGAGCAGAGCTCATTATTAAAAGAAAAGACCTGGGAGAAGATGGATGTAACCTTGGATCACTGGTGATGGATTGGGACTGCTTTTTGACTGGATGTACAACCTTTTGCTGTGGGAATGAGGATTGGGGGTTGAGGGGGAGCAATTGGAGAAAATATTTTCTGGTATTTTCTGATGTGGTTGTATGGGATAGCTTGGACTCAAAACGTCCCAATTGCTCCCAGCTATTTAGGGATCATGTATAAAGAGAGCTCCAAACTGTGATTTGCCCGTGGTTTCAGTGGTGAGGGAGTCCATCTTACATATGGCTGCAATAATTTTGAAAACCTAATTTTATTTTCCACTACTAATTGCAAGAGGTTTTTTCCTCCTGCTTTTTGCTTGCTATGGAGGACCAGTCATTTTTATTCTCGTTTCTAGACAGCTTCAATTCCTGAAGTTGTGAACTGGTTTGCTGTTACAGCATTTGTATTTTAGGCATGAAAAACAGATGTCTAGACCCATTAGTGTTGGGAAGAGAGATTTCTTTGGTATTTGAACTATAAATATGGCAAATTTCCCCTCATCTTATATTTTGTAAAGCTTTGTTTTTGCAAAAATATCTAATCTTAAATCAAATTGTGTCTGTTTGGTTATACCAGTCCTTTTGAGCCAATACAGTCTATCACATCAGCAACAGTTTAGGTATTCCAAAAATAAGATGGTTATAAATCTGTGCCCTATACCCCTCTGTCCCAAAGTCTTAGGGATAAAGCAGAGATATTCTGCATTTACAGAAGCAAGATTTAAACCTCAGAATCTCAGTGAGTTGCATGTGTGTTGCAGCAACAATGACGATCTTAAGTTGGGCCCAAGGGTCAAGTGTTCACAAAAAGAGGTGACTTCTGTGACTTTCACACCAGCCTCTCCCTTTTTTCTGCATCACCACTGCAGCATCACAGAGCACAGCTGCCTGATTTCATGGGTGCTGAGGGGTCACAGCTCCACCCTGGCTGGAACCACCTCGTGATGCCCTGAATGTGCTGCAGGACTGGGGGGAGACAGGGACCTGCACCCAGCCCCTGAGTGACTGCCCAGCCTGAAAGCAGAGCTGCCAGGGGACCTTTGATCCCCTGCAAACAGAAAGTGCAATTGATTCTCTTCACTTAGAAGCATGACTGGTGTTACATTTCCTGAGCTGGACAAGGGTGGTCCAGATGTCCATGACAGATTTTTGCATAAGCACTTTACATTTTTTGTTTTTCTAGCTGTTTGCTCTTCTTCTCTGGTTTAAAAAAAAAAGCTCTTCATACGCTCTTGTTGAAATCACTGCACTAAAAAAGGACTTACATCAGCCTTTAGCCTTCAATAGTTTATTGGATCTCTGGTTGCTAGTGGGGAAAATAGACAAAATTAGGTAGACAGGAAAGACTATGGGACAGTTATTTATGTGAATTTTGGGTCATTTTTTCTTTCAAACAAGTTAGTACAACCATATGGTGGAAAAAAGATGCCAAGTTTTACCCAATCTACTCAAAAGTCAAATAATTGGACATATAAACTGATTATTCAACCACATATGCATTTTGAATCTGGAATATTATTTTTAATGGACCAGATTCCAAATTATTCAGACATTCTGCAAAGAGTCAAAATGCCATAAAAATGTCATGACTGTCTCCATCTTTCTGTGTCCACTCCACAATCACTGTGTACACAGAGGTCCCAGCCCTTCATGCAGGGAGCTGGACAAGGTCCCTACAAAGGAGAAACAGAGAGTAGTTGCCCACCTCTGGGTTTCTATAGAGATGGGCAAGTCTAAATCATAGATCCACTCACTCTCCACTGAGATAATCATAGTAATAAATAATGTATTAATACAGATCATTGTAAGTTTTCACAGGTTATCACTTTTGAATTCCTTCTGTCCTTTAACTTCTAAGGAAATAGGAAATACTGACTGTGCAAATATTAGCCCATCTTTCTGAACGTGCAAATCACTGGGTTCAGTGAAAAACATGGTCCTCTGCTTCACTGGGCTGTGGTCACCCCTGTGAGCCTGCAAGGTACTTATTTCCCTGATAATAAAAATAAACTTAGCCACTTTTCAAGCCACTTCCAAGTTTGCTTCTGGAATATCAAACATAGGTTTTCATTCCTTTATTTCTTTATTAATGCATTGAGCATCAACTTTTCTCAGTCACTTCTAAACTTTAATCAAGGATAAATCACCCCCAATGGGCATTTTAATCTTGTTTCCATATTTTTAAAGGAAATTAAATGTTAATTGCTGCTAGGTAAATTTATCTAGAACACTGATTTTCAATTCATCCCACAAACAGTAAGAAAATAAAGATAATTGTGAGGCATTTCCTGCTGAATAAAGGGAGCAAGGACTTTTTTTCCCCAAATAATATTTCTAAAATAAAGTATTTTTAAAGATTACTGTTATTGTATATTTTTAAATGTCTGTTACTTTCAAATGCCCAGCTAAGCTGACTGCAGTAATTGTTAGAAAAATATTTCTCTCCCTGTCTCTGAGGTGACTGTGGAAGAACTATGACTTTGTTTAAGGAGAGATTAAAAAGTAGAGAGAAATTGCCATTGCATATTCAACAGCAATCGGAAAATATAAAGCCCAGCTGCTTTAGTGGGCTTGTGTGTGACATCCCTGCTGCTGCTGTGTGTGTAGCTTGAATCCTTTGGGGGAAATCATCACTGGTTAAAGCTCAGCCCGAGTTCAGCCTCCAAGTCAAGGCTGTTGACTTGGGGCTCTCACCACTTGTACTTGCCCTTTCATTATCTCTTGGGACTGCTCCTCAAATGTCCTACTTCACCACCCCAGGAAGTTGGGAGTTTCAAAAGATGTTACAGCCTGGCTACCCTGAAATCAAGACATCCCAAAACACACACAAATGAGGGCCCACACATCTGCCTTTCCAACAGCATTACCCACAACCATCTAAATGTTAGGATTGAGCTCTTACATTGCCAAAGATTTAAACCTAAAATATGGTTTTGGACTAAAGCTTTTGTAAGATTTACCACTAAAATAATCTCTGTAAGCAGCAAGCAAAATCCCTATGGTTTCAAATCCTACTTTTTGATCTTTTTCACAAAAGCATTGGCATTATTCTGTGAAGCAAAGAAGAAGCCGTGAAGACCGAATCTTCTACGTCATTGCAATCATAAGAAGAAAAATATAAATTGAAAAATGTCTCTATTATATAATCTTCACATTAACAGGTGGAAAAACAGCAGCATAATTTACCTTTCGACACAGAAATGTCTTCCTTTGGAGCCAAGTAAATTCACTCTGGTGTTTAATCTGAATAGTTGCCAATTTTCTGTCTGTAATGGGAATCCAGTGGAAACTCAGGAAGGAGAAAGAATTAAAGATAAATGCCACTTTCAGGGCAGGATCTTTGTCTAAGGATATTTGGTCGGGCTGGCAGAACACAGACGTAGAGACTGGTCTCAGGTCTGCAGCAGAGTGTGCTGGTTTGCTTTTGGGAGTCTGTGCCATAGTACCAGGGTGACTTTCTAGAGTGCAAAATTATCATTACCAGTTAAGACTTTAGTGGAAACACAGGTCAGGCCCTCCAGGCTCACTCGCTCTCACACACACATGCACAGACACCACCTGGCCATGTTCTGGACCAGACATTTTAGGGATACTCTGCAGCCACTCCCTCATCTAGTCCATGAGCAGAGCTGATGCTTTCTGCCTCAGGAAATGCTTGGAGAATCCACTCATTATAGTCCTGGAGGTTCCCTACTTTGAAGAGACATCATATTCTTAAAAAAATATACTGGGACTAAAAACTACTCAGGAAAGGCTTGCATGAGGGAAGGATCGCTTTGCATTGGGTTAATGGACCCATTAAAAATCCAGAGGGGGTCAAAATTAATATTATTTTCTGCATTTCACAGATGTTACTTTATTAAAAGGGAACCCTGAGATGTTCAAAGGAGGCAGGGAGCTAAGCTGCCAGTGTCATTGAATTTTAATGATGAGTGTGTTCCTTAG